TCCTTCTAACATTTTCAGAGTTTCAGGCTTTACATTGAGGTCCCTGATCCATTTGGAATTGACTTTTGTGCAAGGTGGAAGATGGGGGTTTAGTTTTATTCTTCTACAGGTGGAGATCCAGTTTTGCCAGCACCATTTGCTGAACATGCTGTCTTTCCTCCAGTGAATATTCTTGGCCCCTTTGTCAAATATCAGGTGGCTGAAATTGCATGTACTCATATTTGGGTCTTCAATTTTGTTCCATTGATCTATGGGTCTATTTTTGTGCCAGTACCATGTTGTTTTTATGACTAAGCTCTGTTCTACAGCTTAAAATCTGGTACAGTCATCCCCCCCGGCATTGCTCTTAGTGCTCAGGGTTGCTTTGGCTATCTGAGGTCTTTTGTGTTCCACTCAGGCTGTCTGCTAGGATCTTACTTGAGTGTACTCTTAAATTATGTTGCAGTACATTTTTCAGAGGCATTTCTGAGAGATGCTGCCTTGGGGGATGGAACCTGAGAGTATCTATCTCTCAAGGTTCCACACGGCCTTGCTGTATGTTATCTGAGCACTTCAAAGATAGAGCAAGTTGGCCCTTAACTGGGAAGGCAGACTAATCAGTAATAGACTGCTGCAGCAGGAAGAAGGGGCCAGGGGAACTGAAGTCAACTGATTTGTACAGAGGCTTACAAAGCATCTAAAGGGAGGGTGAGGGAATGAGAGGAAGATAAACAACAGGGTAGTGAAAAATCATGAGAAGCAATAAAGGGAGGGTTGGACCGTGGGAAACACATCTGGGTTTGCTAATTGGCATCTGTCAGAGTTAGGTTCTTATCCTACTGGATTTTGGAGCCAGGAGCTGGGCTTCTAGTACTGAGTAGAAGTAGCAGTTAGTTCTTTTACAGCCTTGAGTTTTCTCAGGTAGAGGCTGAGGGTAGTCCTAGGGATGTAGCTTTGAACCATTGGAAACTCTGCTAGTGTTTTGATTAAATCTTATAGGCCTAGGTTGATACTCAGTCAAGAAGTAGCTCAGGATCTTGGTTAAAGTCTGGTCCAGGTGAGACTCTTTCTTGATTTCACCTGGACAAACAGGTTTAAGAAAAGGACTGAAGCACTAGGGACACCTCCAAAGACATCTACACTAGGATGTATGTTGCACCTGTCAGTCTCACAGTGTCACATGATAGGCTTTGGGGCGGAGCACACTCTCTACAACCTCATCATTCCTGCCCCCCCATCACCATGGGCTTCCCCCTGTTTCAGGTGCTCCAGGCCCTGGAATGTTCATTAATATACTTTGTGGAAAGGTCTTTTGACTGTCATTCATCCTTTGAGATTAATGAACTTCAGTCAAGGTTTTCGCATTTTAAGTTGAATAAGTCATTGTGGAATGAAAATTCTGTACCCTTTACTAATGGATATCTGCGTACTGAGAGGAGGGGTTATCAGTAGGAAACCATGGAGACTTGCCCTTGTGTTGGTAAAACTCCATCACTGAAGCGTGTAGTCAAAAGTGTGGGAGCCCAGACTTCCTCTGACTTTATCATGTAAAAGTTGCTTAACCTTGTCTTCATCATTTTTCTCATTTGCAACAATGGAGGATGCCATGTATTATTATTATTGACTATGTAAATGACAGCCACATGCTCATAGCCAGGGCTTAGTATATACTACTAAACAATTACTTCACCTCAAGTCCACAGTGAAATGGAACTGACAGTCCCTGTCCTTAGGGAGCTTTCAGTCATATCAGATTGCAGAGACCCGCCCTTGTCTATATTGTTCCTGCTAATCTCTCCCTGGAACTGTGACAATCCCAGCACTACAGAGACACAAGGACATTCTCCTCTATGCCTCGTCAGGAACTCAGGGGGACCTCAGGCTTTGTAAACTTAGCTGTTTCCCTTCTGGCAACTTCAGAGGCTTGTGCTCCACTCTCAGCTGTGACTATATTTCATTACCAGCTGCAAAGAGGCACTTATTAGTTGGGAAAGCAAAAGCAGGGCTCAAGTGGACAATTTTCCAAATGTGGGCTTGGAGCAACAGACATGAGTAGTCTCACTCCTCTAAAACATCACAGAGAAAACCTCAGGACTAGAAGTGTTCCCAAGGGCCATCTGATAATCCCATGTAATTTTAAAATTGCTCTGTATACAGCATTTCCTCAAAACATGAAAGCACTTCAAACCCGGAAAAGCTAACTACACAAAAGGATGCTGATAGGACCATCTGTGCTCTCATCCCTGTTGCCTACAGGCAAAGATGTTGCCATGTCAAGTAATGTCAAGTAGCCAAGCGAAGAGTGTTATTGAACAGAGAACAATGTTCCTTGGGTCCAAGAGGAAGAGGAGGAATTAGAGACACAGAACCACCAGGTCCTGAGAGGTTGCCTGGATATTCTATCATCTATAGAATGGGAATGTTGACTAAGAAATGCAGAGATGTGCATAACAGTTTGTTCCTTAAAATCAAACCAAAGCAAAGCAGTAATAGTCATGAGAAAGTGATAGCAGACATACAGGTACTCAATGTCTGGTGTGGCCACAGTCTCATTTTTAAGGACCTAACAGAGATTTCAAAATCCTTGCCATCTCAGGCTGGAGAGATGGCTCAGTGGTTAAGAGTGCTGGCTGCTCTCGCAGAGGACCCAGGTTCAAATCCCAGGACCTACATGGTGGCTAACCGTCTGTAACTCCAGTTCCAGAAGATCTGATGCTTTCTTCTGACCTCCCTGGGCATTGTGCAATGTGGGTGCACCCACACACATGCAGGCAGTATACTCATGCACATAGAATAAAAATAAATTAAAAAAAAATCCTTGCCACCTCTATTCCCTTCTTGCTTCCCTACAACTCCTAGAAGTGTGCATAACTAAGGGGGATGAGATGGAGGCCCCAGGCGGGAGAGGAGCAGCCACGTAGGGGTGGCTGATGGCAGAGACAGTTCTGGGACCTAGCCTCTCCTTCAAAGCCTTCTCCTTCTGGGGAACTGGAGGCCCCCATTGAGGGGAGATGTTTGCACCAGTACTCAGAGAGATGGGACTAGAAGCTTGGAAATTTCTGTACACTGCTGTTCACGCACCCTCACTGGAGTTTCTTTCCAGATCAACAGACTGGTGATCGGGCATGACAGCTCAGGCATGCATGCAGGCTGGTTCCTGGGTAGCGTCCAGATCCGTGTGCCTCGCCAAGGCAAGCAGTACACCTTCCCTGCCAATCGCTGGCTGGATAAGAACCAGGCTGATGGGCGTCTGGAGGTGGAGCTCTACCCCAGCGAGGTCGTGGAGATCCAGAAATGTACGGAGGAGGCTGGGTGGGGCCTCAGCATTGTTTCCCCTGTGCAATGGGGGGTGGGGGGCAGATAGAGTCATCCAAAGTAGTTGAAGCCATTTAGTGACTGGGTCTTATCTCCACATATTGAGGCAATGGGGGGAGGTCTGTGGGGAGACATTGGAGGCTTCCAGTTGCCCCTGGTACCAATGGGCCTGAGAGGCAAGGGCTCATTTCACAGATGGGAAAAATGAGGACCCAATGACTGAAACTTTTTTTTCTGGAGAAAATACAGGAAAAACATTAGGAAATGTATATTCTCAACCTTGTAGCAAAGAATGGGGGTGTAGTTTACACCTTTCCCTGGGAAGACTGGCTGAGGAGGTCCAACTTTTCATTCATTTATTCAGTAAATATCTACTAAGGTTTCTCTGGCTAGCCCTACCTTGGGATTTTTGGAGGCAGCTGTCAGCAAAACAGACCAAACCCAGTCCCCCTGAGACAGTGAACCAAGAGCTGAATAGACAAGGGAGAAGTCCGAGAGGAACAGAGCAGGGTAAGAGGGTAGCACTGGGGTGAGTGAGGAGCTTTGTGGACAGGATTATCTGAGGAGCTGAAAGTCAAGGCGGCCCTGTCCTCCACTGTACATAATGTCATGGTATGTCAGAGACTCCTGAGAGTGTCTAGTGGCTAAGAGAGACCGTGGGACCACAGCCTGGAAGGACAATGTTTCTCCCTGGCCACTGCACGTCCACATCTCTCCTGAGAACATCTGCCCCCAGTTTTCTCCCCAGGGAGCTTCTCGAGAAGCAGACCCAGGCCAAGGAAGCTCTTCCTTGAGCAGGACACAAAGCATATTTTTCCTATGTGCATTTCATCTCCCAGCCTATCCAGTCGCTCCTCAAGGGCCAGGTCTTACACTTGTGCTTTCCAGTGGTACATGCCAATATGAGAAACCACCTCTGCCCTGCCTTCTTTCATGAATTCAAGCTTTGTTTCCAACAAAGTCAAGAAAATAGATAAAAAGAAAATAAGCAGTATTTCTCTTCCTTCTTGTCTTACCCTCTCATTTCTCAGAAGTAACAACCTTAGTTACTTTAGCTTGTTCCTCTGAAACTTAGCTTTTAATAATATGCTTATTAGTAATATGCTTCTTAATAATATGCTTATTCACTTTTTCATTTTTTATACTTAGACACTATCTATGGATATCCTCTTATGGGATAAGATGATTGAGTTCTTTTAACACATATTCATATACATATGTATACACGTGTGCATATGTGCATGTACTTTCTTCCAGTTTTCAATACAATTAAACCAATATTCAATCTTTACACTGCTATGACTGTATTATTCACTGCTAAGTCACTTGCTGTATGATGATTGCATTGCACTTTGCACAACTTCTCTTTCTTTCTGGAGTTGCCAAAAACATCATTTGTCATTTTCTCTGTGCCCATTGTGTCAGCCTGTAGAGCTGCTGTAACAGCATGACTCCCCTTGGCTTGGAGAAGGCTACCTTTACTCCCTGGGATGTCACATGCTCTCTTCTCACTGCTCACATACTTTTCACTGCTGTCTCACTGTGTGTCCAAATTTCTACTTCCTAAAAGGACACTCATATTATTAGAGTTCACCCTATGAGTCTTACTTAAACTTAATTCTCTCTTTATAAACTGGCACATTGCATTTTTATTTGGTGTGTGTGTGTGTGTGTGTGTGTGTATGTGTGTATGTGTGCATGTGCCCATGCACATGCTACAGCGCACATGTGGAGATCAGAAAACAACCTACAGGTGTGTTTTCTCCTTCCTGGGGAGCAAAGTCAGATTTCAGGCTTAGGAGATAAGCAAGACTTACCCACTGAGCTGTCTCTCATGGCCCTAATTGCCTCTTTAAAATTCTTATCTCTAAATACAGTTGTACTATGAAGCATTGGGGGTAGGTGCTTCAACATAAGAATTAAGCAGGTTGCAATTCAGTCCTGTGATGGTTTGAATGAGAAATACCCCCTATAGGCTCAAGTATTTGAACTTGGTCTCCAATTGATGGCACTCTTTGGGGATGTTATGGAACCTTTTGGAGGAACAGTCTTGTTGGAAGAAGCAAGTAACTGGGGGAGAACTCTGAGAGTTTATAGCCTCGACACTTTCTGCTTCCTTTGTGTGGTAGAGATGTGATCTCTCAGGTTCCTGCTCTGGCTGCCTGCTACCATCCCCACCCCCCATTATGGACTTTCCTTCTGGAACCCTAAGCCAGATAAACGTTCTTCTAGAAGCTACTTCTGGTCATGGTATTTTATCACAGCACCAGAAAAGAAACCCATATAAGTCCTAACATAATCTTATCACTAAATCTCCAACAGGCTAACGTTCTTTCCATCTAGTTCACATTGCTCCCATCTCCCTTCCAAGACTCCTCTGAAAGCTTCTGTCCTGTAGTTTGTCACACAGCAGTCCCTCATGGACTTTGTTGTTGACCATCTTTTTGAAGACGCTTCAGTTTTTTCCTGGACTGGACCTCCTGTCTGGGCCTCTGTGACTTCCTCTGTTTCATTCCTACCTTCCTCAAAAAGTTGTGGAAAGAGAACTGTGGTGCTTCTGCAACTGTCTCTGACTCTCAAATTGATTCAATTTGCCATTTATAGACTCCTGAGTTGAAGCTCACCTTCCTTAGAGTTTATTCTTCCGTCTTCCAGCTCCTAGAGTTGTAGGTGAGAAACCTGGTGTCATTCTGCCAGCCAACTCTGATTTTCCTTCTCTAGATGCTCAGAGCACCCACCTCTCACCTGACATTCTGAAATGTGATGCTCTTACAATTGGGGCGTGGCTTCTTCCCTCTGCTCTGGAAACTTGTGAACTCTTTCAGTCTAGATGCACTTCTGGTTTTAGTTTTTGCATTATCTCTCCAACAACTTCCAACTCTATTTTCTCGGCTCTCTCTAGAACTGAATTCTTAATTAGATACTGGTTTCCTCTGATTGTCTTACCTTTTCTTTGCCATTTTTGTTCTTAGGAGATTTCCTCTCTTCTTTTAAGAAATGTCTTTGACTTTATCATTGCTGTTAAACATTTGATTTCAAGCCACCAGATTTTAGTTCCCCATAATCCATTCTTGTCTCTGGATCCTCACTGTTCTCTTTTCTCAAGTTGTCTACAACACATGGCTGCCTATGGGGCTGTGAGCTGAGCGGGGGCAGGGAGTGGGTCTCCTCTCCTTATGGGTTGTTAGCTTCCACAGGAGCTTCACCTTGTCCACACACTTCCCAGCATTGATTTCAGCTGAACCTAGTATCTGCAGTTCAGACTCTTAACCAGTCCTCTTATTTCCAGCCCCAGGGTTCTCACAGTACCATGGTGAGAACCATGGTAATGGAAGGTCATCTTACTGAAAGTAACTGAACTGGGGGATGACTCAGTAAAGTGCTTGCTGCACAAACATAAGGATCTGAGTTTGGATCCCTGGCACTCATGTAAAAGCTAGGTGTGGAGCTGGAGAGATGGCCCAGTGGTTAAGAGCACTAGCTGCTCTTTTAAAGGACCCGAGTTTGATTCCCAGCACCCACGTGGCACTAACAGCTGTCTGTATCTCCAGTTCCAGGGGATCCAACACCCTCTTCTGGCCTCTGCAGGCATTGCACGACATTAGGTGCACTTACATACATGCAGGAAATAGTCTCATACACACAAAATAAAAATAAATTTAAAAAAAGCTAGGTTGGTGGCATATGTCTGTAATTTCAACACTGAAGGGGTCAGGGACAGGAGACATAGATGGATCTATGGAGCTCACTGACCAGGTGGTGAGCTATACGTTCAATGAGAGACCCTGTCTCAAAAAAAAAAAAAAAAAGATGGAGAACAATGGAGACAGACACCCAATGTTGGTATCTGACCTCTACATACACCCTCATTACCTGGAAAGAAATCAAGATATTGTCTTAATAAGGACAATCCTCATAGCATTAACAAGCAACATAGTGCTACTGTTCTTCAGGGAAATACTTCCGCTCCATTTGCAAATGCCCTCTACTGATAATGCATTTCCACCCTCCAACACCTTGATAAACATTACTTCAGTGTACTTCATGCACTGATATCATCTGAAGATGCTTATAGTTAAATGAGCACTCTCCCTCAACCTCATGTCCTTTACTGATATAACAGAAAATAAATACACATTTTGCTTCTTTCTGCCCCATGATGTCTGCCCTGGTCAGGATCAGTATCTTTATTTTACTTTATTTTTGCTGCCATAAAGCAATACCACAGACTAGATAATGTGAATGAACATGGTTTCATTGGCTTAAAGGTCTGTATGCTGGGAAGTTCAGTATCACAGTGCTGGCATCTGATGACAGCCTCCTTTCTGCATTATAATGTGGCAGATGGGGACAGAGGAAGGAGGGGATGAACTCAAATTTCTGATCCTTCAGGCCTGAGTCTTCGTGGTCTAATCGCTTCTTAAAGACCCTACCTCTTTAATAAATTTCAAGAAGAGTTTTGAAGGGAACATTCAAACTACAGCAGGTAGGCAGACCATAGAGAGTGCCACATAGCACATTTAGTCCTCCTCATTCCTAGTCCCCAAGGACACATGTGGGGCAATGGATAACTGGACACAGGGTCTGATTGCTTAGATTTGCCATTTTCACCACCTAGTCAATTCCTTTAAGCCTCAGCTGGTCCATCTGTGAAATGTCTGCTCAAGATGTTAGGGAGGTTTGACAAGATGATGCTTGTGAAGCAGCAGTCATGCAGACAGGCTTGGAACATGCCTGTTTGTTGCTATCAGTGTTGTTATTACTAACTATCTCATTTCTCCCACATTTGTCCACCTAGTGGTCCATTATGAGGTTGAGATTTGGACAGGGGATGTGGGTGGTGCAGGCACCACTTCCCAAGTCTATCTGCAGATCTATGGTGAGGAAGGCAAGACCGCAGTGCTCTTCCTATCCAGCCGCTCCAAAGTGTTTGATCGAGCATCCAAGGATATATTCCAGGTGCGTGGGAGTGAGGCTGTGTGGGTGCCAACAGAGGTCTGGTAGGTGCTAAGGTGTTACCCTAAGTGATTTATTTTCTCAGTCAACACCCACTGAGAACAAACTGGCTTGCTCCAGCTTAATGGGAAATGCTGTCTGGAGGACAGATTGGTCTGAGGTTCCTTTGATTTCCTGGGGCATTTGTGGAAGCAACAAGCCGTATAAAGTTTTGAACTGCAGATGAGAAAACCTGGATGCTGGGCCAAATTCTGCCTTGTCGACATGAACAGTAATGGCTTTTTCTAGACCTGTGTTTGGTGCCTGAAATGACCAAGGGTTCTCAAATCCTGGCCTCATGTTTGAATTACCTTGGGATTGTAAACAACAACAAAAAAGGTCCTGTCCACACCTCAGACCAGTCACATCGGTCTCTGCAGGTGGAATGTGTTCTCTGAGATGTCTTTCTTTTAAAAGTTCTGGCAGTGATAACAACACACTGTCAAGTCTGGAGTCGCTGATTCTTGCTTCACTAATGATGGCACCAGGGGTGGGTTCTTCCACTTCTTCTATGGCTCTGCCTCTGTACTTCTCCCAGGCCTGGTGACAAGTCCATGCTTCTCAGGCAGGACCCTGGGGGATGGTGAGCTTCCTCTCCTCATATTGCCCGTCCTGTCAAGAAGGAAAAAAGATCTGAATAGGAGCACTGTTGGCAGGAGAGGAGGCTATAAGGGACACTGAGTATTTATGTTGGACATGAGAGAATGTGTATATGTATATGTGTGTGCGAGCACATGTGTGTTTATCTACAGATGTGTATATAGGAAGCATGCTCATGCTGGGTGTTCCGTGTGTATTCTTGTACCACAGATTCCTTGCCTTTCAGGGAAGAGCTCTTTCCCAGTGCCCAGGGAAGGTCCTAGCTGTGTTGGAGGCTAGGCCAGGCTCACAGATGTCTGAAACATTAGAGTTACAGGGCCTTCATTGGGTCAAATGTCTTCATACGCTACTAACAAGGACCAGGTCTATGTATTTGACATTTCTGAGCCTCAACTTCCTTCTTTCGTCCAACCTAACTTTGTAATCCCTGCCTGGCTGACTTCACAGTCCTGTAGCAATAAAAACAATCAGCGTCAGATAATACACCTGGGAAACTGTAACCAGTTACTGAGATGTGGTTGAGCAGTGCATAGTCCCCTTTCCCTAAGTCACCACAAAAGATAAGTTCTGCTTCACCTAGGTGCTGGACACCTTCTTCACTGGTAATTTTCTTACAGAGGCAGATTGGCTCTATACTGGTTTCCTGAATAGGAAGCCAGGGGACCTGTGCTCTTATCTAACTGGAATTGAAATGTAGAGCACTGAGTAACTATTGGACAACCGTGTACCTCAGATTCCCCTGTCTCTCAAATGAGATAACTGATTGACTTTGAAAAAAGTCAAACATCAAGCAGACTCAATGTCTAGGTGCTTAAGAGGAGCCAGCTGTAACAGACCTCACATGAGCCTCCCCCAAGGTCTGAACCGCAGTACAGGTCTTCCCAAGAATGTGACTCAGGACACAGTGACAGTGCAATCTGAGGCTGAGGCTGAGCCACTGTGTACTAGGCCAGTGGGGAGAGACACAAAATGATTGTCCTTGTCCTTAAAAGGAACCCATGGCTTATATTAGCTAATTTTTTCATTGCTGTGACAAAATACTTGAAAAAAATTAACTCAAGCAATAAGGGGTTTATTTTCATTTATGGCTTAGAAGGGATACAGTCCATCATGACAGGGCAGCAGAAATGTGAGGCAGCTTGCTACATTGCATCCATAGTGAGGAAGCAGAGATTAGAGAGTAAGCTTGGCCAGGCTATAAAAACTTGAGGCTCACTCCTAGTGATTCACTTCCTCAAGCAAAGCTCCACCTCCTAAAGGTCTTACAACCTTCTAAAACAGCATCTGGGGACCAGGTGTTCAAACACATAAGCTTATAGGGACCATTTCACATTCAAACCACAACAGAGTCTCCAGAAGACCAAGATGAAAGTCAGGTCATGACAGGACCAGAGCCAACAGTCCTGTCATCAGGTGTCCCTTTTGAGCTCAGAGGAAGGGATGCCTGCCAAGCCAAGGCTATGTGCTTGGGAGGATTAGGACCTCTGGGGAAATGGGTGAGGGTTTTGTTTGTTTTTATTTCTTTTTAACTAAAAAAATTTTTTTTGCTTTACTTTTATTTTTATGTGTATGTGTGTATTACATGCATGTATGTAAGTGCACCTGTGTCGTGCAATGCCCAATGGAGGTCAGAAGACGACATCAAATTCCCATGGAACTGGAGTTATGGACAGTTGTTAGCCAACACGTGGGTGCTGAGAATTGAGCCTGGGTCCTCAGCAAGAACAGCCAGTGCTCTTAACTGCGAGCCATCTCTCCAGTCCCCTGTTTGCTTACTTTTTTCAGAAAACATTGTTTTCTTATTGTCAAAATTATACCTGTCTAATAGTGAACATATTTGTAAAGAGAACTCATAAAGACGCATTTTTAAAAAGTAGTAACGAGGCACAGGATTATGAATAGGTTGAAGGTGAGGGGTAAAAAAGGAATAACACCAGGCCTGGCATGGCGGGGGCACTGAATGAGAGAGTGATGGAAGCAGGAATAGAAGGCAACTAGGGAAGGGGGTGAGAGAAGATGAACAGGGAAATCAGCTTAGCCATTGCAGAAGTGAGAAACAGGTGTAAGTAAGGCGGGGGCCAGGCTGGGTGGAGAGAGGAAACCTCTGAAACTTCTGAGCAAAGGCCTCTGCACACTGCATCTCAGAACCCAGGCAGCATTGGCTTCATGGGGAGGCTGGGAGGATGCCAGGAGCCATGCCAGCCACTGCCCTGCACTTTGCACAGCTGGAGGCGGCAGACGTGGGTGAGATCTACAAGATCCGACTGGGACACACAGGCGAGGGATTTGGGCCCAGCTGGTTCGTGGACACTGTGTGGCTGCGGCACTTGGTGGTACGGCAGGTGAACCCCACACCTGAGGAGGAGGCCCGGAAAAAGAAGGAGAAGGATAAATTGCGGCAGCTGCTCAAGAAGGAGAGGCTGAAGGCCAAGCTACAGAGAAAGAAGAAGAAGAAGAAAAAGAAGGGTAGTGATGAGGAGGAGGAGGATGAGGATGAGGAGTCCTCATCGGAAGAGTCCTCATCAGAGGAGGAGGAGGAGGAAGAGACAGAAGAGGAGGAGGAAGAGGAGGAGTTTGGGCCAGGGATGCAGGAGGTGATTGAGCAGTACAAGTTCGAAGCCCACCGCTGGCTGGCCCGGGGCAAGGAAGACAATGAACTTGTTGTGGAACTGGTCCCAGCTGGTCAGCCTGGTCCTGAGCGTAAGCCTGAGAAGGGCCCATGTGTCCCCTAGAGGGACCAGGGAGGGGGCAGGGTGACTCAGTGTCCCTCAGACAGAGGCTGGGTAGATGGAACCCCATTGTGGTTCATTAATAGCTCTCATGACCTGCACTTGGAAAGCCACCATTGACCTCTCTGTTTGCGGCTAAGCATTGCCCTTGACCTAAGGCTCTTAAGAGGAAACATGGCTTAGGGAGGAGCTCTCATACAGCTCAACATATCCAAATATGGGGGACTAAGGTAGCAGCTAAGCATTGCCCTTGACCTAAGGCTCTTAAGAGGAAACATGGCTTTGGGAGGAGCTCTCATACAGCTCAACATATCCAAATATGGGGGACTAAGGTAGGAGGGTTGCTGAGACCCAATGGCTCTTGGTTTTATGGTGAAGTCAAGTCTTGGGAGGAGGGCAGGCTGATATGGTCATAACTATAGAACATTCCTGTTTCCAGGATCCACATGGAACTGAGGGCTGGGCCTCAGCTCCATTTCATGGCTCTGGTATCCTCAATGCTGACTCTTTCTGTGTCTCCAGCCAATACCTATGAGGTCCAGGTGATCACAGGGAATGTGCCCAAGGCTGGCACGGATGCCAATGTCTACCTGACCATCTATGGTGAGGAATATGGGGACACAGGCGAGCGGCCCCTGAAGAAGTCAGACAAGTCCAACAAGTTTGAGCAGGGTCAGGTAGGGTAAGGGCTGGCTGGCTCCTGGGTGGTTGGGTCTCAGACATGGAGCATTTTGCCTTCTGATGATTCCCACAGCAGCCTCAAACAGCACCATGTCTGCAGTGTGTTTAAGAGGATACTAACATCAATCATGTGAAGTTTTGTGGTGGGGGGGGGGATAGAGAGAATTACAGGCAGGTTTCTGCCTGTGAAACCCACAGGCTAGCTGGTCCTTGGAGCAAGCAGAGAAGAACATCTGGTGGTAGGTGCTCAGACCTGACTGAGCTGAGCAGGGTTTCTGAAGAAAAGGCTCACCATTAAGGAGCCTTGGGAAAGACTGGTAGTGTAGCTCAGTGGCACAGCACTTGCCTGACATGTACTAAGCCCTGGATTTGATCATCAACACCACAAAACAAACAGAAACTCTTTGGCCCATGGCTACATGCCTGTAAGCCCAGTGCTTGGGTGGCTAAACCAAGAATATAGCAAGTTTGAGGTTAGCCTTGGCTATATAGTAAGACCCTGTCTCAAAACCCAAAGAAAGGGACTTTGGGGAAGGGTTGGTGAGAAGGAATGATGGAACTGGGCAGATGAGTATCTAGTGGTGTGACAGGGGCATCAAGACTCTTGCTGAAGACAGGACTGCATGAGCAGAGACTAGAAGGTGGGAGAGAAGGCCAGTGTGAGGACCATGTGTCCCCTCCTAGACTGCCCAGCAGTTGAGAAGCTTGGCTGAGACCAGGGAAGAACACCTGTGTGGTGGGGCTACGATCTTAAAGACAGACTGATGGGGCTGGAGAGATGAGAAATGTAAAAGAAAAAAACATTGTGTATAGAGGAGCAAAGGAGAGTTACAGCAGACTTCTCATCAGAAATGAAACCATGTAGGTCAGAAGATAATGGAGAGACAGTGTAAAAAGACTAAAAGGAGGGGCTGGAGGGATGGCTTAGCGGTTAAGAGCACTGGTTAAAAGACAGGCTGAAAAGCCTGAGCTCTGTCCTGAGGAGTGGAAACGAAGATGAGATACATGGACCTTACTCTTCCTTATGTAAGGGAAAGACATGAAAAAGAAAGCTGTTGTGCTGTCCTGTGAGCCCATGTGAAATCCCATCCCTTCCCTCACTCTCCTTTTCTAGCCCCTGTCCCCAGACCAGGTTCTCTCAACACATGAAGTGACAGTAAACTAAATCCATTCAAATACTTTCAAGCTCCTCACATGCTCTATTTCTATCCTTCCCCACCCTGCTTTCCTTTCAGCATCCTTCCCATTGAGTTTTGGGGTTTGTCTCTGATTTTCAGTGCCCACCTTGGAAAGCAGTAGCCCTTACTATATTCCTAGATTGAGGGAAATTGCTAGGGAGGACAAATTGGTACAGTGGGTGCAATATGAACACTGACTGCACATTAGAGAACAGCACAGTCACATGCCACATTTCAGTCGATAATGAATGGTGTATATGATGTGGTTCTGTTAAGATATCATCTAGTGACATCACAACCTTCTTAAATTTTGTAAGCATATTCTATATGATGTTTATATAATGACAGAATTAACCTAGCAACAGGTTTCTCAGAACATTATCCCTACTGTTAAGTGACCCATGACTATATTGTGTTGAAGTTAAATTTCCTGAATTGATCACTGTTCGTAAGAATCCATGTTGAATATTTAGGGGTAAAGGATCATGGTACCTACTACCTACTTTCAACTGATCCATAAAAACTAGACAAAGAGAGTAAGAACAGAAAAAAGGGAAGAAATGGAATACTTCAGCAAGGGATGCACAGAGGAGCAGGATCTCAGAGGAAGCAGGCCAAGCTTGTTTCTATTTTTGCAAGTTTTCTGAAGATTTTAAATCCCTTTCAACAAAAAGAGCTTTATCCAGAAAACCCCATTCACTTATGGGTTCCCCATGTCACCTTTTTTCCCCTCTGGTACATGTGGCAGCCATAATCATATGCAGGGCTCACATTCCATCTTCCTACCGAAATGAGGAACAAGCCCAAATCTTTTTTGTCAGTCACCTTGGATCTGCTCAGAACTGCTTCATAGCAGGCACTTAATAAAAACGTATGATTGAAGGAGATTGGGCACATGTACAAACCAAGAATAGGGTACTCTTGTACTTCCTACCCCCACACACATCATAAATGTGATACCCAGTCCACCTGTTTTCTCTGTTCTGCCTCTCTGAAGATCACCATCTTTCTCTTTCCTCTACCTTCCTTGATACAATGAGAGTGACAAGACATCTTATAGGCCCAGGTTAATAAAAACCAATAATCTTAGCACTTGGGAGCCAGGGGCAGGAAGATGATAAGCTCAAGGTCAGCTAAAGCCACATGCAGAGACTTCATTTTTTAAAATGTATAGAGAAAGCCAGATATGGTGGCTCACGCCTGAAGTCCCAGCACTTGGGAGGCAGAGGCAGGCGGATCTCTGTGAGTTCAAGCCCAGCCTGGTCTCCATAGTGAGTTCCAGGCCAGCTGGAACCAAAAAGAGAAAAAAAAGATGTATAGAACAAATACCAAACTAATGAGCTGCATTTTCCTCTATCCTACAGCTGATTGCCTTGGGTCTTATGGTCTACCTCTGGGTGCTTGGGTCCTTGAGAGGGTGGAGCTAATGGAAAGGTGAGGAGAGACAGGTCTCACCCCTCTGAGTGATACTTTCACTCTTCTAGACAGACACCTTCACCATCTATGCCATTGACCTGGGGCCTCTGGCCAAGATTCGGATTCGCCACGACAACACAGGCAACAGACCAGGCTGGTTCCTGGACCGAATAGACATCACAGACATGAATAATGAGATCACGTAAGTGATCTGGAGGGGGAGAGAGAGAAGGCCATGCCTGGCACTAAGATAGTCCAAGAGAGGGGACAAGGTATTGGAAAGTGACACCTGAGGGTGAGGGTGGGTTTGGCTGAGTTCAGGGTGGGCTTGACCTATAAAGGGGTCTGAGTTGGCATGGCTTCTCTCTTGTTCCTCCCAGAGTTCAGCTGATAGCCTGGTAGAATACCTGCTCCAGCACCTCATGTCCATTCATTCTGAGAGGTCAGATAATCAAACCCTATATAGTTCCACTAGTCTGGTCTCCATATCCAGGCTCAGCTCGCCCACAAGACTCTCCATGGAGAAAACAGCTTACAGAACCTAGTTTTAATGTTCTGGGGACCAGAGATGGGCAACCCTTTCTGTAAGGGCCAGGTAGAAAATATTTCCAGCTTTGTACACCATTTGATTGCTACAAAAGCCACTCTACTGGTAAACTGCAAAAGCAGCCTTAGATGATGTTTAAGTGGGAGGATGTGGCTCTGTTCCAACAAAACTTCATTTATGGACATTAAAGCTTGAACTTCATGTCACAAAATAATATTATTCTTTAGGCTATTTCCTCCCAGCCATTTACAAATGCAAAAATCTGTTCTTAGCTTGATATATGTAAGCATGTGGTGGGCTGGACTGGCTCCTATGGGAGTGTAGCAACCTCCTGACCTACGCTGGGAAGTAATGATTGGTCATTCCCATAGGTTTGAAGGAAAGGAGGAGCCCTATCCCCAAAGCCAGTTGGTACCAGAGCAAGACCTGAACTCCAAACCATCGATGTGGGCTGTGGTGGTTTTCCTTTCATTAAGTCACACTGCCTCCAGGATGAGAGGAATCCAGGGGTACTTGAAATAAAAGAAGGCCCCCCATGTGGAGTGCAGTGAGGCAGAGGAAAGCATGCCAGCTCCAGAGTGGGTGTCAGGACTACTGAGGACCCGACAATGCCTGAGATTTAGTGATCCCATTGTAGATAAATATTTGTTGAATAGATGTCTTCGCCTGCAGCCTTTTATGTCTTGGATCACACCCCCTTGTTGGGCTAAGCTGTGCAGAGCAGGGGATGACAGGGTTCATCCTATTGCCCACAATGCCCTTCCTCACCCTCCATAGGGACCCAAGGCACACCTCCCAAATGGCTCAGTGTTCCAGTTGTCAAAATAATGCAATGGCTGGGTGCCAGGGTCCTAACCTGGGGTTGGTCCTGTGCCGGAACTGTGCCAGTTCACCCTGCACAAGTCATTGCATCTTTATGGCTGTCATTTCCTTTTCTAATAAATAGGCTTGGTGATACCGCCACACTTACTCCCCAAGATGTTCCTGCAAGACCAAGGGTTCTCAGCTCAGGACAGAGTGCTGCTGAGATCCAGGCTGGAGGCAGACAACACCCAGCTTTCTCTTCCTGCTCAGTCAGGATTAGTTAGTCTGTTCTGTTGATTTGACATTTCTGGTCCAGCCCAGCAAGTTAAAAATTATTATAGCTATGTAGTCTATTTGAATATCTGTCAGTTCTTATCCTCTTTCATTATTCCTTAAAAATATCAGTCATTATTATCTTTTTCAAATAAAGGCATTAAGTGATTTGAAAAAAATGTCTTCTAGGGATTTTTAAATTTTCTGCCATTAAACATGTATGTGAAGAATTGTATATTTGGACTATTAAGTGCCACCACCCAGGTACATTTCTCCTCTTGCCCAACTGTTCCTTTACGCATTTCAGTAATTCTTGACAGTTTTCTACTCCTAACAGCTCCCCATTCTTGTTACGTTTATATCCAGTATAGTAAATTTAGGTGGCTCTTGTGAGTGAAACCTCGCTGTTCTTTCTCTTGCCATTTCTTTCCCTCACTCCCTCCCTCCCTCCCTCCTTCCCTCCACTCTTCCTTCCCCATCTCTTCTTCCTGCCCCATCCTTTTCTGTGCGTGTCACTGGCTTGTGCTTTGTTAATATAAGCTCTTTTCTGTACAGGCTCTGTAATGAGCTGGCTTCAACAACCTTCACGTGGATACTGAGCACTGCTTAATCTGGTAGAAAGACAGAAATTCACATAAGTCTAGAATCTCAGCAGCAGATCTTTAGGAGAGATGTTGTCAGCCATGAGAGGTTACAGGCATTCCTTGGGGCCTCTCAGCCTTTGCAGCTCAGGAAGACGGGCTCTGCAGCCAGGAGGATTTGAGATCCCTCATCTGCCTGGGATCCAGGCAGCAGCCTCCCTTCAGACTGGACCTCCTTGACCCCTGCCTCATACCCACTCCAAATCTGCTGGCAGAATGTGGTGGCCCTTGGCTCAGAAGAGCATGATTCTGTTTTTGTAGCTCTATCCTACCGCTCCACCCCTTGATCACAACCTTCTGATTTGCCAATTGTGCCACCCGGGCTCAGTGACCAGAATCATTTAGGCTTCTGCTCCAACACCTACAGAGGCACCCATCTCCCAGAGGAGGAAGCCAAGTATTTCCCGCCAGGCCTGCTCCGTGTCCCTTCCTAGATCTTAATCTGGTTCCTTCCTACCCTGCCCTCACCTTGCTCATTTCTTGCTGTTTCTTGAGCCAAACAAAAATGTTCCCACCTGGAGCCTTTGCAATGGCAGTCCCCTCTCCTGGGCACTCCTTCCCCAGGGCTTCCTCTCACTATGTTAGGCAGGTCTCTGCCTAGGTGTTATAGCCTTATTGAGGCCTGGCATGCCCTCTCTGCTTGCTTTTTTCTGGATCTCTTTTCACCTGACCTACTTAGGACCTACTTAGGTCCTTCCTGCAATAGTAGTCTGTGTAAGACATGACTTTTTCCCTGTTGTTACTGCTGTGGCTCCCCCAGTACCTAGAAGAGAGCTTGGCAGAGTAGTGACACCGATCAAAGTTCTTGAGGTCTAGATGGGCTATTGCCATGACCATCAGTTACACTTGACATTGTCTCTGTTAGCTTATACACAAAAGTGGGAAACGCTGTATGAATTTATTTACTTCGTTTCATTTTATTTTATCTGCACAGTACTGGATATAGAGCCCAGGCATGCACTTCACACCAAGTTGTATTCTCAGCCTGTTTTCACTTTTAAATTTGAAGCAGAGTCTCACTAAGTACCCAGGTAGTCCTTGGACTTCTGGTCCTCCTGCCTCCACCTCCTGAATAGCAGGGGTTATAGGGTCGTGTTGCCAGGCCCTGTTAATCATTTATACTTTATAACATTCAACTTTGCATTCTGTTCAGTCAGTTTTTACTTTTAAATGAGAATTTTATTTTACTAGTTCCAGCCTCTGATTCATTGTGAACCTCCTGCCCCCTCAGCCTGGGCTGTTTCCTACTGGACCAGACCCTGGTTTAAGCTATGTAGTTTGCCTCCCTGGCCCATAACACCTGCTCACTCCTCGTCTTTATTCCTTACAAGGCCCTACCTGCTCCATCCCCTGGGTCCAGAGACCTGTTTGAGCAGGACTTACTCCTATGGGGGGATGGAAGGGTCACTAGGCCTAGTCCCTTTGGACCTCCATGTGGGATTGCTGGCACTGGGGAAAAGGAGCTAAGCGTCTAATTCCCAATCCTTTCCCAGCTCCAGCTCTGGTTCTGTCTGTTGGGAACAGGTTCCAAGGGGAGATCAGCTGGCTGGCACTGCAGCTGTGAGAGTGCTGAAGGCCTTCAAAATCCTGCCGCAGGTGTCTGCAGCTCTGGTTCCACAAAAAGTCTGTGCTCTGTGTGTGCTCAGCAGGCACCTGTGGGAGGGATGCGCCTTTCCTTTCTGGCTTCTGGCTTTTCTGTCTCTCTCCAGTTCACCTCCCAGCTTCTCTTTGTGTGTCTCTCTGCCTCTGTCCTTGTCCTTGCTGACTTCCTGCTTTCATTGTCTCTGCCCCAACCACCCCTTCCTTTATCTGTCACTCCCTAAACTGGCCATAATTTAGAACTATAGCCCATTATTCTTGAGTTATTTGAATAAAACTAACTTTTCCACTCACACATTTAAAGAGTAAGAAGTAGAACAGTGCTCATTTTATTCTGAAACAGTGACTTAATAGCTCTTTAATTTGTATCACCCCAGGTAGAGCTGCTTTTGCTCTTTCAGTCCCTGACTATGAATATAGAATTTCCCTCCCCACTCAACTGAGTGCCTGGACTGATATCATACTCTCTGATCTTCTTCTTAACATTTGGAAGGGCCGAGGACAGAGACCCAGGTAGAGGAGAAACCCTCTAAGTACACCAAATATACTCCAACAATCCAGTATTGCCCACTCCAGATTTGGACTAGTCCCTGAATGGCCCTTAGTCATCAGGGTGAAGAGAAGAGATACACAAGAGATGCCATGTCCCCAGTTCACAGTGGTTCTGTGTGCTTGGACACCTTGTGTTGTTCTGGAGCTTAGGAGACTGGCTCACAGCTTCCAGGGAGCCCAGGAGTAGCTGAGGAGAAAGACAGAAAGGCAAAGTAACATGAATGGTACTGATTGAATTAGCAAATGGTTGCTGAGAGCAAGGATTTACCAAATATCAGGCAGGACACACATATGAACAGGACCCATTGTTTGTGTAAAATTCAAATGTAACTGGGAGTCCTGGCATTCCATTGGTTAAATCTGACAATCCTAGGAAAGAATTCACTCAAGGTCATACAAGAATTAGTGGAAAAGACAGGATTTAGAAGCCAGAGAGTCTAACTGTAGGAACGAATCCTTAGTAACTGGTTTGCCCCCTCATCCTGGTCCACCTTCCTGTCTAGGTTCCTTCATCATTCTGGGAACTCCCCTCCACGAAGAAGTCTGCATGGATCTTTTCTCCCTAGATAGCCTAGATGTCCTTAGCCACATTTTGTATTTTCCCTAAGCATACTTGGTTCATGCCGCCAAAATTCATTCATTCCATACTTGTGTACACAACTCTGCTGTGTGCAATACTTTACCAGAATAACTGGTTTTTTGTTGTTGGTGGTGGTCCTTTTTTAAGATGGGGTCTCCTGTAACCCCAGCTGGCCTAGAACTTACTATGTAGACAGAGTGGTCTCAATCTTAGAGATCTGCCTGCCTCTGCCACCTCGCCCGGCCAAAAGTTTTAAAATGTATTTTATTTATTATTATTTTATGTGTATGAGTATACTGCCTGCATGTGTGTGGGTACACCCATGTTGTACAGTGTTTGTGGAGGTCAGAAAAGGATATCAGATTCCCCTGAAACTGGAGCTATAGAAGGTTGTTAGCCACCGTGTGGGTGCCAGGAATCAAACACAGGTCCTCTGCAAGAGCAGCCAGTGTGTTTAACTGCTGAGTCATATCTCCAGCCCCTATACCAGAATAACTTGACTCAGATTCCAATTTAAGAAAAGATGACAACATTCCTGTAAGTCCATCTTCTTCTAGATCTTTGGCTATGTCCAGGCATGTTACCTTATATCTTTTATGGGATATCTGGAGACAATGTACCCATGTTTATTCTTCAGCCCATGCAGACTCCTGGGTAATCCATAAGCTGGGCAGAACTGGAAGGCAATGCCACAGAGGGCAGGTGGGAGAACCTCAAACCCAAGGAGAGTCCTCATCCTCAGACTGTTCCTGCTCCCCTGTAAGACCGTTCCAAAAAGATATCCCAACCTTTCTTGCTCTCCCCCACAGGTACTATTTCCCATGCCAACGCTGGCTAGCAGTGGAGGAGGACGATGGCCAGCTGTCCAGGGAGCTTCTGCCAGTGGACAAGTCCTATGTGTTTCCCAGCGAGGATGCAGAGGGTGGGGGACATGGTGGCAATAACCCCCTTGACAACCTGGCCTTGGAGCAAAAAGGTTTCCTAAACTAGAGCTGATTTCTAAACCCCCGTCATCCTTTTCTCTTCTTCCCTCTCCCTCTCCCCTCTCTGGTCTATTCCTTCCCTTCCTATGGGCTCTGGATACCTCCTACTCTGATATTCTAGCTGTTTTGCCCTCTCCTCCGTAGTGAGATTGTGGAGGTCAGAGTAGGGGAGGGCGCATGCTCCTGTGTGCCTAGCACAGGTTTAGAATAAGGTATGCAGCTATGGATGGTGCTGTTGTCAGGAACAGAAGAGTGGAATCAGTTTGGATTCATTATTTTCTCTCCCTTCAGGCACACTTTAGGCTCCCAAGGCAATTTTTGCCAAGGAAAACCATGGGCAGTAGCCTACAAAAGACATGTGATGCTTGTTTCCATTCCTGAGACTCCTCCAGCCTGGAGAGGTCAGACCAAAGCTCCTAGCTATGAGCTTCTGACACCCACAGCCACCTCATCTCTCCCTTGACCATGTGTCACCTTTACTGACTGATGGCTTTCAGTATGAGTCAGGGTCAGTGGGTATTTTCTCTCCCTTTAGGCATTTTCTAGACTAAAGGGAACCACAGAACAACCCATACTGTAAGTAAAGTGACACATTTCTTTTGCTCACCACAGGCCTTGAGGGTGTAGGATTGAATGAGTGGAGAGGAACTGGAGTGATAGAGCCAGAGTGGGCAGATCAAGGGATCGAGGAGGCCTCCTCTCTTTGTGAGATCCTGGGGGTAATCCACAGCTTACTTCTCTTTGCTTTTCTGACAGATAAATCAACCACTTTCTCGGTGACAATAAAGACTGGGGACAAGAAGAATGCAGGCACAGATGCCAATGTTTTCATCACCCTCTTTGGCACACAAGATGACAATGGTAAAAAAGAAATATAGCACCTTCCTGGGCACACTGGCAGACTCAACAGAAGGTTCTCAGGAAGCCCAGGTTACACTTGTCTTACAGGAAACTACAGGTGCCAGGCCCCACCACAGAAAGGCAGATCCTTTGTTTCTACAAAATCTCTCCTCCTGTTGTAAGAGCAAAGAAGCTTTACCCTAACTGTACCCCAGCAATGACTTGGAAGAAGGAGCTCTTGCAAGTCCAGCAAGACTCAGGTTCCCCACTATGAGATCTACAGGGAATGCCAGAGTTATTTGGAGGCTGCACAGGAACTCAGGAAGGGGGCATTTAGTGTGAGGGCACCCATCATCCACTCACATCTTGTCTAACCATTCTGCCTGAGCCTAGAAGAGTCTTAAGCAGTCTTTATGCATCAGCTTGAAACTCTGTGAGTCCAGAGCCAGATGGCAAGCACAACTGAAGAATGAATGGAGCTAGGCCCAAACTGAGTGTTTATATTCTAGAACAGAGGTGTATTAATAGAATGCATGACTCTGGAGCCTGACTGGTTCAAATTCCATTCCAATATTGGTTGCATGGCCATGGGCAAGTTGCTTTACCACTTTGTGCCTTGGCTTTCTCCATTTGTAAAATAGAACTAAAGCTCTATGTGCCTTTTAGAGTTGTGGATTTAATGCCATTGAACATTTAAAGTATTTGGGTCAAAGTGGCACTCAATGAACAGTAATTATTATTATTTAATAGGTTTGATAAGTAAAAAATATGTAATAAAAGACTTATGTCACACCCAATAAATTGATGTGTTTGTACTGGTTCCTGAATCATGGCCAAAAAAAATTGAGGGGCCCTAACAGCTGCATTTATTCACTGGGGAATTTTATTGTTGGTCAGCTTCTTAAGCACTCAAAATCATAGTCTTATTTGGTCCTCACAGAAACCCTCTGGGGAAAGCACCAGATCACCTCTTTTTGATATCTAAGGAAGCCAAGTTGTAGACATTAAGCAGTTTTTCAAGGACTCCCAGGTGATAGGATTCAGAGCCAGGCATCAGAATGGGGTCTCTCTCTCTCTCTCTCTCTCTCTCTCTCTCTCTCTCTCTCAGCACTTAAGCCAATGTGCTATAAAGCTGTGACCATCAGAAGGCCTTGTGCAGGAGGTGGGATGTGGGAACTGGAGCTGGGATTAAAGAAGTCAAGGGACTTTAAGGCAACATAGTGCCAGTAGGAGAGGATGGTGATGACTCTGCAGCCACCTCAGACTTCAGGCTGATACCACAGCCAGTCCCAGATTCTGTATGTGGGATGGACAGTGGGGTCATTTGAAGCTGTCCCCTCCTTGTGCCATTCAGGTAAGTCTGCAGAGAATTCCCACGAGTCACATCCCCACAAAGGATCGCTGTTGGTCCATGAGCGTGGGGAGGATAGTTTGTCACTGGCTCCCTCTTCATGTGGAGAGCTGCAAAGGTTGTGGAAGAAGAGCTGGCACTGACTCAGAGCCCTGACACTTGTCCTGTATGAGCATGGCAAGGCTGTTCTTTAGTTATAGACTGGCAATTGCAAGCATACATGAAAGGGTTTTTTTTAAAGCTCAGCAAAAGAATACATATGTACAGCCTCCCCCCACACACACACCAGTGTGCAAAGGTCACCAGTGGGTGGAATGGCACCTTTGTTGATTTGATGGAAGTTCAGAAAGTTGGTCATTAAGAGGAAAAATGAAGGGGTGGGTGAGATTAGGTGGAAAAAGTCTTAGGGCCAATCAGTCATGCTGGGGTCATCTGGTTGGCAGGAATGACCCTCCTGAAGTCCTCCAAGACCAACAGTGACAAGTTTGAAAGGGACAGCATTGAAATCTTCACAGTGGAGACGCTGGATCTGGGAGACCTGTGGAAAGTTAGGATCGGCCATGACAACACAGGTCTAGCTTCCCTCCTTTCTGTGCCCTGCTACGCCCGGGAGCACCATGGACAGGTCACTGTGGGCTGCTCCGCTGACAGTCTTTCCTCAGACCCCATCCATGGCAATTTTAATGCACAGATGGAATAGAAAATCTCTGAAATGACTGAATGGGTTTCTAACCTGAGCATACATAGAGTCACCTGGATGGAGGTGGGGATATTAAAACATGGTTCTTGGGACCTCCCCCCAACTTTTCTCACTCAGTAGTTTTGAGATATTTTTCTCTCAAGTCTCTGGGTGATATATAGCTGCTGGACTGGAGACCCCAGTCTGAGAACCACTGAGTCAGCCGGTCCTTCACGGAACCCACTGACACAGCAGCCAAAGAATGTATCCGTAATTTTCCCTCAGTGTAAAGTAGGACTCTCTTTTTGTTCTCCAGCTCTTCTTTTCTGAGCTTGAGGAAGAGAGTCTCATTCTCAAAGTAGGAACTATTGGAACTGCAGGGTCCAGGGTCTCTGGCTGGCTTTCATTTCCCTCTTTAAGCTGAGCACTTACTGGCTTACCTTTCATTCATCACAAATGGAACAAGGGAGCTGTGAGCATCCTCTCTGACACAGGATGAAATGATGAAAGTCTCCATGGACATAGGCTTCCTTTGGCTTCCTTTGGTTCCCTGTTTGGAGCTTTGTCCACACTGGACAGCATCCTTGCTTTGCTTGTTGAGACTCCTGCCCCACCCCTCCCCGTCACCTCCTCCCAGGGCTTCTCCAAGACCAACAATGACAAGTGCCCCCTCCTGCTGGTACTTCTTCACTGTATTTTGTCTCTTTCTCTCTCTCTATAGGCAAGGCCCCAGGCTGGTTTGTAGACTGGGTAGAGGTGGATGCCCCATCTCTTGGAAAGTGTATGATGTTTCCCTGTGGCCGCTGGCTTGCCAAAAATGAGGATGATGGAACCATCGTCAGGGACCTTTTCCATGCAGAGCTTCAGACAAGACTTTACACACCATGTAAGAACCCTGCAAGGCAAGGCCAGCCCTCCTAGGGGACCCCATTATCTGCCATCTTAACATAGCCACAGGTCCTCCTTCACAGTTGACTTGGGGCCAGACCCACCTCAGAGATTCCATTCTCTTACTCCTGTTCTGAACTTTTGGGATGGGAGCTACTATAGGTCTAGCCTTGGACCCAGAGAAAGATAATATGGGTTTTATTCCAAACTCCAGCCCACACTAACTGATGACAATGTGCCATCTAACCTGAGACTTCTTCCTCTTCTTCACAATAGAGATAATAATGCAGGGTGGCTAACATTAAAAGAGTAATCTGTGAGGAACCATGATTGACCCCATCACAATCTTCCTTCCAGTTCTGTCACACCAGAGAAATCCCCACTTGAGGATTTTCTGCTGATGGTGAGGGCGGTGAGTGGGAGAACTGGAAAAGAGGGCAAATGTAATTCTTTTACTGGGTAAAGCAAAGAGGAAGGTGGGTGATTTGGCCAAGCCTTGACACTCCTCTTCCATAGCTGTCATGCAGACGTTCACATTAAATGTTTATATGCATGTAAGTCCATACTAGGTGCTAGGAATCAAACTGAAATTAGACAAACTGGAAATCTGTCTGAATCTGGTGAAATCTGAAAGCAACCCAGAACATTCCAGTTTTTCCTAGCTAAATAAGAAACAATATGAAAAGATTTTGCTCAGATAACTTAGACTTAAACAGCATAAATCAGTGAAGTACTTTTGTTTCTCTAAAGCAATCAAAGTGGGAATCAACAGATCATCAAAGTATTTTCTGGCCTAAAGCCAGAAAGAAAGTAACCTTTCCCTCCAGTCAAGTCCTGGATCCAGGGCCCTGCTGTAGGAACTGCCTGCAGTGCAGTATAGACTAGCAGCAGGATTGGGTAGGACCCTATGGGTACAAGCACCCATCTCCCTCCCTGCCCTAGAGCAGGCCATGCTCAGCACCTACCACTTTGAAATTTCATATAGGCTGACTTTGAATATACAGCTGTCCCTATGTTTCTTTGGGGATTGGTTCTAAGACTCCTGCAGATACCAAAAATCTACAAATTACTAAAGTCCTTCAAATGAAACAGAATAACATTTGCATATAACCTGCACACAAGTGAGTCTTAGATTCATGTCTGCTTTAAAAAGTAGGTGGGACTGGGGAGATGGCTCAATGGTTAAGAGTATGTACTGTTCTTCCAGAGGACCAGAGTTTGATTCCTATCACCTTGTCATGTAGTTCACAACCAGCTGTATGCTACCTCTAGGAAGATCTGATGCTCTAGCCTCCATGGGCACCTGCATACACTACACTACACACACACACACACACACACACACACACACACACACACACACACGGAGGGGAGAATTAAAATAACAATTTTTTTTTCTTTAAAAATTTTTTTATTTGTGGGACTGGAGAGATGGCTCAGCAGTTAAGAACACTGTTCTTAAAATAACAATTTTTTAATAGGTGAAGGCTAGGGGAAGAACTGAGCTACAGTCTAAACATTTACTTAAGGAGAAAGCAAGGGGGAAGAAGAGTCTGATGCTCGGAACCCCCCTCTGGAGAGATCTTGGGGCCCATAGTCAAGGAGCTCCAGGGGACCAGGGAGCTTTGGTCCCAGAACAGTAGAAAACAGCACCCAGCTGTTCCTATCAGGAGTCTGAAAAATGTCTTGGAAGCCAGGTATGGTGGTTGGTCAAGGCTGTCCTAATACATGTGAAACCAGAAGGGACAGGCCAGTGCAGCCTGCTGAGGCCTGCTGAAGCCTGCTGGTACACAGCAGACAGTGAGCAAGGACACCTGCGAAAATCTACATAAGAAACCTGGGGTCAGACTAGGAAGAGTGGGTGGGTGGAGCTCTGTATGCCAGAGCCATGCTATACCAGGGCTGGGAAGGACGTGGGGCTCCATTGTGATCTGAGGGGCCATGACAAGTGAAGGAGTGTCTCAGAATAGCCAAACCGGAGAGGAGAAAGCGCTACTCCCCATGCCACCCGGAGCAGTTCCTCCACTTTCAGAAGTCAAATTATTCCTGAAAATTGATAAATGTATTCATAAGAATCCCAGAGCTAAACAACTGAAACCATAGATCCAGTTAACCTCTGCATGTTAAAGCTGAGGAAACCAAGGCTCAAACACAGCTACAGTGGCAGAGGCAGAACTAGAAACCAGGTACCAAATTTGAGCCCAGGCCTGGAGCAGTGAGGGCAAAGGATGGGCTGTTACCCACTGGCGAACATCCAGGCATCCTCCTGCCTGCTGCTGTCAGGAAAGCCCAAACCCCTATGCCAGGCTTGCTCTCAGGCTCCCAGGCTGTAGGTCAAGGATTCTGTGGAAGAATCCATATTGCAGATGGAGCTTTCTTCACTGTTGAAGGCCTGGCAGGGTTGGGCTTCTGTTTCTCAGCAAGCCATAAGTGGAGTCTATTTCTATCCCCTGTGGGTCTGTGGTTACCTCCACAGGGCATCTTTCCCATGGCTTGTGGGTAAGCATCAGTAATTTCTTCCAATTTAGCCCCAGAAGTGGACTATGCAGGCTCTGAAGTCAGATAAGTCTGGCTCAAGCTCAAGTATGACCATATGACCTTAGGCAAATTTCTTCACCTTTCTGAGCTTTCTCCTCTGATAAAATGGGCACGATACCCACTCCACTGGCCACTGAGTGCTTGATGTTGAATCTGGCATATAGCAAGTTCTCAGTGAATGAGAATTGTCATGACCACAGACACTGCTGCCTCCGTTCTACTGCAGAGAATCCCTTTTAATGCACCAGAGGCAAATTCCTCACAAGAAGGTTAGGGCCACCAGAGAGACGGTAGCTCCTGTTAATATGGATGGCTTCCTTTAAGAACCAAGGTAAGGACCTGAGAGAGATGATGCTAAGGCTAAAAACCAAAACATCAAAGAACCAAGATTACAAGATGACATTTTTCCTCTTAAACTCCTTTTCTGAGGTTTTATGCTTTATTATTCCTTTCTCCCTACTTCACTTTTCTATTTAATTTTTTAACTTTAAACACATTTATTGAGAATTTCATACACACATATAAGGTGTTTTGATCAAATCCATGCCCACTCCCTCCCCTCCAACTCCTCCCATATCTCCCCAAAACGTTTTCCTGAACAACTTTGGGTACTCTTTCTTTTTAACATTCCTCTCTCTGAAGAGGTAACCCTAGAACCTTTTAGGGATTAGATAAGAGCTCCCAAATACTTTTGACATTTTTGGCCTTTGGAACAGAGTATGTTACTAAGAGGCCCAAGGACATTTTGATTTTTAGCTAGGAAACTGGCTACTTTTCTTTAGGGTCTTTTTACCCTAACTGCATAGCCAATTCCTACCTCCTAGTCTTATCACACCATCCTCTGAAGAGGTTACCCAACTTGTGGATATGGAATCAGGATGCAGACTGCTCTGGCTTCTTCCATGCTGAACAGGGGCACAGACCAATCTGGTTTCTTCCATGCTGAACAGGGACCCAGACCAATCTGGCTTCTTCCATGCTGAACAGGGACCCAGGGTGAGGCAATCGGGGTACCCCTTCAGTGGGTCTATCTAAAAGACTCCCAAATTGCATAACTATAGGGAGAAAAGAAAGTCCATGACTGGTACCTAGGAGATGTGAAGGAGAAGTAAAGGCAAGAGTAGTTAGAACTACAAGTTCTAGAAAGGGCACGAGAAAAAAGTCAAAAGAGTATAAATTTCAAATGTTCATATGAGAGTCCATTGGAATTTCTTGATGAGAGCTTCCAAAAGCATCCTCTATTGGGTTCCTCCTCATTTTTCTTTTGTCTGCCAAGGCTGGACTAGAGGGTGATGGACTCAGAATTTGTTTTCAGGCACTTTGATAGCTGTTGGAGTTGTTAGAATCAGTGTCAGTTCCCTCTCAAAGGCTTCTAGATAGGGGGAGAAAACAAATTTAGCCACCATTTTAGAATAATAGTGGGTTGTCTCCCTTAGCTACAGGTGGGCACTACAGTATTGTAGACCAAGATTTCAAGTCTTACATCTGAGCAGCACTTTGTGATTAGAAACAAAATCATCAATGAGAAATGTCTAAATAACTTTTTATAGAGACTTAAGCCTAATATCTGGGAAGTGTATTCCCTTGAATTCTTAAAGAAATATTCTGATGATCTTTGGTTATACTTTCCTTTTGGGTGTTTAAGACCGTACAGTTGGCCCAAATAAACCAATTTATTTTTACTCTTAAGGTCATTTGAGGATCTGTTCCTCAGGGGTCACATGGGCTTGGGCGGAGCCCCTGGCTCCTTCCTTTTACCAGTCCCATCTATGTGAAGATCAGTCAAAGGTCCTGCTTGACCGTGCCTGGCTTCACTTGGAAGCATGGAGGAAATGTTTCCTCTGTGTTGACCCTCCTATTTGTAGATGGGACACTGGTTCAAGTCCATCTGGTGGGGTCTCCATGGCCTCCGTGAACAAGAGAACAGGTGACTCACCACAGTTACAGAACATTTTGAGAGATGCTCCATAGTCCCCTGGAACTTAGTTGACCTTGGAGGGCAAGGAGCAAAAACTGTCCTTTAAGTCCCTCTGACCAGATTAGTGTAGGCCTCAAAGTATGGCTGTTAAACATCCAAGAAGGTTAGTTCCACCATTTTGGTACTTACCGTGTGCTATGTAGATAAAGCCTTTACCCAGCGTGGATCAAGCCTTCTCTTCCTAGCCTTCCCCAGATTATATACTTTAGTCATCCCCAAATCCAGGAGACCATGTGTGATTAGGGCCAATACGGTTGGCTGGGAAGAGTGGCTGGATACTCTGGTGAGGGTCCAATGACCCTGCTTGCCCCTCCTTTAATGAAGGAGCACAACTATCAACAAGCCAAATTGTGATGATGTTTATTAAGCAGGCACAACTGAAGTTGTGACCGTGGTAGTTATTTCACGCTGAAGAGGCTGCTGTATAGCATCATCTTATTAAAAGAACATGGAATTTAAAAGGATTGGGTTCTAGGATCTAC